GCCCTACCCACTGAGCCACAGACACTGCTAGGGTTTTGTTTTTCTTTTCCAGAATTTATAGAAGACATTTCCTTACTGTTCTTTGAAAGGAAGTTAGAAACCCTAAAGCTTTTTAATCTGTAGGTTTTTCTTTTGGCATTTTTTTTTCGTTTTTATTTTATTTTTTCCCCCTAGAGAAGAGCCTCTGTTATAAGAAGAAAAGGGAAGGTGTAGCATTTTTTACTTTTAAGAATGATTTAATTTCTTGTGAAATTTCTGATATATAAAAGGATGATATGGTTTGAGAGTTCCTTAGTTAGTTGCTTCTAAAAGGAACTTATGAACATACAGACAATGTCAACTTTCTGTTCAATGTAATTCATAGATAAATAATGTTCTTTTTTTGTTCTTAGGGTGTACAACTATGAGCCTTTGACACAGCTCAAAAATGTCCGAGCCAATTACTATGGAAAATACATTGCTCTAAGAGGGACAGTGGTTCGTGTCAGTAATATAAAGCCTCTTTGCACCAAGATGGGTTTTCTTTGTTCTGCGTGTGGAGAAGTTCAGAGTGTTTCTCTTCCAGATGGAAAATACACTCTCCCAACGAAGGTGATGTATTCTTTAACTGCTTCTTTATTTATCTTGGTAAAGAAGGCTAATCTGTTTACAGAAAATACTTGCCAGTGTTTCTGAGCACAGAGCTTATATTTATTTTTTAGTTTTAGTTATATGAAATATTTTAGGATACAGAAAAGTACAGAAACCACTAAAATACTTCTTTACATACCACCCCAAATTTACATTTTTTAATTCCTCATATATTTTTAAAGATAGAAAACATTACTGATGCAGTTGTCTCTTTTTTACCCTTTGCCTGTACCATTCCCAGAGACAACCATTATGCTAAAGTTAATGTGGGTCTTTTCCATTCCTATTTCTCTATTGTGACTTCATGGGTAAACACAGTCGATTTTTCCTCCTTTATTCCTTCCACTGTTTGGAAGTGCTGTGTTTGGTTCTTTTTTCTTTATTAACTTTTTAAAACTAGGCTTTATAGCTATACAGTAGTACAGGGAATTGGCAGTTATTGATACTTGGTATTTTAGCTTAATTCATAACAAATATAAAGAATTGTAGTTAAAGTCCCTGCCCCCCAACCCAGTTTCTTTCCCTTTGTTCTGTCTTTAGAGGGAGGTACTATTCTGAAGTGTGTGTTCTTCAAGTTTAAATTTTTATTCTTTTTTTAGAGACAGAGTTTCACTTTCTTGCCCTCAGTAGAGTGCCATAGCATCACAGCTCATAGCAACCTTCAGCTCTTGGACTTAGGCAATTCTCTTGCCTCAGCCTCCCGAGTAGCTGGGACTACAGGCTCCCGCCACAACGCCCTGCTATTTTTTTATTGCACTTCGGCTGGGGCTGGGTTTGAACCCGCCACTCTCGGTATATGGGGCCGGTGCCCTACCCACTGAGCCACAGGCACCGCCCTAAATTTTTATTCTTAACTGTATGTGTAGGGTTAATTTTGTTTTACTCAATTATTTTGGGGTTTTACCTATTTTAAATATATACCAAGCTTTTTTTACTATTGTGGAGTATTACATTAAATGACTAGCCAATGTTTATCCATTCTCCTCGTGGTGAGCGTGCTGTTTCCAGCTTTTTTATAATTACTAGTGATGTTACAGAGACTATTCTTATACATGTCTCCTAAGCAGAGGATTTTTCAAGTGATAGGCTACACATTTTTTTTTTTTTTTTGGCTTACTTATTTTTAACTTCCCTGGATGTTGCCAAGTTACTTTCTAGAGTGTTGGTTCCAACTCACACCCCTAGTGGTAGAGTGCAGCAGTTTCCCTTTCCCCGTATCTTCATTAACACCTGGATTGTTAGACGTCGTAGTTTTTGACGGTCTGGTGGGTATAAAGTGTTACTTCACCTATGAGGTGAGTTTCTGTGATTTCTGTTATGGATGAACATCATATCTTTATTGGCCAGTTTCCTTTAGTGACTTTACTATTTTTGTCATCTATTTGTTTTCTTGTTAGTTTATTGATAGTTCTTTATATATTCTTTATTGATTACATACATTACAGATATCTTCTCCCAGTCTTTGGTTTGTTTCTTAACTTTGTGCAGTATTTTTTTTGTTGTACAGTTTCACATTTTAACACCATCAAATTGATCAGTCTTGTCCCTCACAACTTTAACATTTTAAGCTTTGCTTAAGAAGCTCATTTTAGGCCAGACGCAGTGGCTCACGCCTGTAATCCTAGCACTCTAAGAGGCCTAGGCAGGAGGATTGCTTGAACTCAGAAGTTTGAGACCAGCTTAAGCAAGAGCAAGATCCTATTTCTATTACAATTAGATAAATTAGCTGGGCATTGTGGCAAGTGCTTGTTGTCCCAGCTACTTGGAAGGCTAAGGCAGAAGTATCACCTGAACCATTTGAAGTTGCTGTGAGCTAGGCTAACATCACAGCATTCTAGCCTGAGGCAACAAAGTGAGACTGTCTCAAAAAAACAGAAGCCCTTTTCACTCAAGTATTATATTTTCTACATCTTGTTCTAATACTTGTGAATTTCTTTACTTTTTTTCTCTACATTTGAGTATTTGGCCCATCTGTAAATTAATTTGGTGACTAGTATAAAACTAGGGATTTTTAAGCCAGGCTTGGTTAAAAGTGGGTGGCACACATGCAATCCCAGCCACTGAGGAAGCTGAGGCAGGAGAATTACTTGAGGCCAGAAATGAGACTAGTCTATGCAACATAGTGAGACCCCCATCTCTTAAAAACAAACAAAAAACCCTTGGGGTCTAATGTTTAGGTGAGAAGTCATTTGTCCTGACACCCTTTAAGCCCATCATTATCACAGATGTGTAAGGTGTCCCTGGTGGTACACTGCGCTCCTAGAGACATATGAGTCTTTTTCATTTTATCAGTCTTGCACATACGCTAAACAGTCTTATTTATGTTGATCTTATTAAATGTTGTATGGCAGGGATATTTGCCCTGTTATTCTTTTCCAGAGTTGCCTTTATCAGCTACTGGACTTTTACATTTAGCCTCAAATTTTTACTTATGTAATAATTTCTTGAAGAATTTAAAATCAAAATACATTTATAATTGAAATTTCTAGGACTTCTTTCTCTTACTGGAAGAACAGATTATGTTAGCATCAGCTGTTGGTTCTGAATAATTAGTCCTGCTGGTAGGTGGGTGTTATCCACTATCTGTCCCTGCTTAAAGTTCAAGGCACAACATTTAGCTGAGAGAACAGAATTTAAATCTTGATTTAAACTGGATAATTTGTATGGACAGTATTTCTCATGGTTTCTGTGGTTCAGGAATTTATAAAAACTACTTAGCCAGGTCGTTCTGGCTCTCAGTCTCTTGCAAGGTTACAGTCATGAAGATGGCTGAGGGCTGGCTTTCTCTCTCCATGTGGTCTCCATGGCTGGGCTGGTCTGGGCTTCTCACACACAGAAGGGCAGCTCAAGACACTCAGTCTGCTCACGTGGCTGCTGACAGCTTCAAGGCAAGGAGGTTCAGTCTATAGGCAGAAATGCCTTTTTATGAGCTAGCCTCAGAAGTCACACAACATCACTTCTGTCACATTCTCTAGGTGACAAAATGTAGTACAAACCTGCCCAGGTTACAGGAGAGGAGATTAGTCTCCATCTTTTGATGGAGATGTTTGGGAGGGTCTAAAAAGGCTTGAGGGGAAATATTGTTATATTTGGAAAATACAGTTTTCCAGAGTCTCTGAATTTGTAGATGCTTCTTGAGGTCTAAACACCAAACAAGTGACTTCTGAAAATTTGAACACAGCTTGCTTATACTCATGTTGAGGACTGCCTGTGTGGGACAATAAATATTGCACCTTATAAACAGTGCAAAAGGAGGCATTCTCTCTATCAGGGAAGAGAGAGCTGGGAATTAAAGATGACCCAGGGAAGGCTTTAGAAAAGGAGAGAATTTGGAGTGGATATATGGGACTGAACTGAGAGGAGCAGAAGACTGAAGGGATCCAGAGGAAGGGTAGAGTGCTTGGTGTGGAAGCCAAGCAAGACTCCTTGCATACCCACCCATGGCAGGAAGAATAAGAGCAGAGAGTGACAGGCCAGCTGGCAAAGTGCCTCAGAAGCTCACGCTATCATAGCAGGAGGAAATAGAAAGTCATTACAACTCTTAATGGATTTTCCTTTAATAACAACCAACTTTTTTTTTTTTTTTTTTTTTTTTGAGACAGAGCCCCAAGCTGTCCCCCTGGGTAGAGTGCCATGGCATCTCAGCTCACAGCAACCTCCAACTCCTAGGCTCAAGCGAGTCTCCCGCCTCAGCCTCCCAAGCAGCTGGGACCACAGGCGCCCGCCACAACGCCCGGCCATTTCTTGGTTGCAGCCGTCATTGTTGTTTGGCTGCCCGGGCTGGATTCGAACCCGCCACCCTGGGTGCTATGCCGAGCCATAGCAACCAACTTTTAAAGCAGTATCAAATGAAGTGTTTTACCTTGGATTTTCCTGAGGGTGACTGTAGCTTATCACGCTCTGACTGACGTACTCTTGTTGCAGTGTCCTGTGCCTGCATGTCGGGGGAGATCCTTCACTGCTCTCCGCAGCTCTCCTCTCACGGTTACGCTGGACTGGCAGTCGATTAAGTAAGCAACCACACTGTTAAAGAAGAGGCGGGGTTTAGGTCTCTCTGAGAGACTATAATTTTACTGTGATTTTTTATCTAAACAATGCCAAAGTATATAATAGAAGGGTTATTTGATGAAGAATTTATGTGTTGAAATATGCCTAATAGTCTTTATTTGAAATTTATTCTCTGGCTTGACGCCTGTGGCTCAAGCAGCTAAGGCGCCAGCCACATACACCTAAGGTGGCGGGTTCGAATCCAGCCCAGGCCCCCCAAACAACAATGACGGCTGCAACCAAAAAATAGCCGAGTGTTGTGGTGGGCGCCTGTGGTCCCAGCTACTTGGGAGGCGGAGGCCCGAGACTCGCTTGAGCCCAGGAGGTAGAGGTTGCTGTGAGCTGTGATGCCACAGCACTCTACCCAGGATGACAGCTTGAGGCTGTCTCAAAAAAAAAAAGAAATTTATTCTCTGTTGGATTCCTGAAGGGATGAAATAGGCAGATATTAAGTCTAAGAAGTTGCAATAATATTGATTTGAAGTTTTAGGTAAAAAACTTAGTTTTTATCCCTTATAAATAGGCATGTTTTATTTCATGTTCTCACTGTTCATGAGGCATTTGGCATTTTACTATAGGCCTTTTTTTTTTGAAGTTAGATTTTTCTCTGTGTATGTATTTTTGATTCAATAATTGATTAGTTTTTGGTGTGTGTGTGCCATAGCCTATAACTCATCTCTAAATATAAAATAATGGGTAGTTTTGAAGTCAGAGTGCGCTCTAAGAAACCCAACTGAAATGGTCTTAAAAAATTAAGAATCTAGGAAAAAGATGAGATAGCTTGCTACTAGCTAGCTTCCCCGCCCTGTGAAAACCAATATGAACGTACATGATAACTAATTGTACTATGCTGAGGTCTTTGCAAACACCCCATTTTATAAAAAAGGGATGTTGAAGATTTTTTCATGTGATTGTGTGGCCTATGAGGAATAGAGTTAGATTTCCATCCAGGTCAGTGGGTTTTCACCTCTGAAGGGGAATGAGGGAGGGCATCAGAGGGAGTACAGAGTTCATAGCAGGGCATATGCAGAGAAGATTCAAGGTCATTTAACTCTGGATCTTTGAACGGAATTTTGAACTATTTGGACAAAATCTCTTTTCTTTCAAGTAAAAATACCACACAAGAAAATAGACTTACATTTTAATTGGATTTGAATGATGATCTGCTAATATTAGGAAATCAGAGTTAAGAGAGGACAATTTTAGAAGAGGCTATTTAAGTCTTTTTCTTAAATCTTTTTTTTTTTTTTTTAAGAGACAGAGTCTCACTTGTCACCCTCGGTAGAGTGCTGTGGCATCACAGCTCACAGCAACCTCCAGCTCTTGGGTTTAGGCAACTCTCTTGCCTCTACCTCCTGAGTAGCAGGGACTACAGGCCCCGCCACAATGCCTGGCTATTTTTTTTGTTGGCAGTTTGGCCGGGTCCAGGTTTGAACCTGCGACCCTTGGTATATGGGGCCGGCACCCTACTCACTGAGTCCTAGGAGCCGCCCTTTTTCTTAAATCTTTAAAAGTAAAGTATTAGTAGGGCTGGTGAGGTGGCTCACACCTATAATCCCAGCACTTTGGGAGGCTGAGGCAGGTAGATCGCCTGAGCTCAGGAGTTCGAGACCAGCCTGAGCAAGAGCAAGACCCAGTCTCTAAAAATAGCTGGGTGTTGTGGGCACCTATAGTCCCAGCCACTTGGGAGGCTGAGGCAAGAGAATCACTTGAGCCCAGGATTCTGAGGTTGCTGTGAGCTATGGCACTACAGCAATTCTACCAAGGGTGACAAAGTGAAACTCCATCTCAAAAAAAAATGTATTGGTCAAACTCATCTTAAATGAGTTAATTATAGTAAAACTTTGGCAATATAATATTACCTCACCTGATTATTTTATTGTATAGATAAAGTGACCATTTGCCTTAAAGGTGTCCTTCCTGCCATATGAAATAAATTCAATTTCTGGTTTTTCTGAGGCTTAGCTTGGGATGGCCATGAGGAATGAAATTACTGTTCCTCAGCTAGTGCATTGAAACGTTTGGTTGCATCAAGGTGACAGGCTTATAATGGTGTAGAAGAGCCTTACAGTTGCAGCAGTCTGAGTTTTACAAGTTTATCTGATGAAATCGTTTGCTGGAAGTATGTTTTTACAGTGTTGATAAAAATTGGGAATAGCCTAAGCATCTGAAGACAATTATTATAAGGAGGATAGTACAGTGGATTATCATGTAGGCACTAAAGGTGATATAGTAAAATATTTATAAATGATATCAGAAAATATTTTCAATATATTCAGTGATAAAACAGGTTATAAAATATTTTGTACTGTACAATCCTGACTTTATTTTCAAAAAATTAAACAAAAGGCCCGGGTAAGAGGGCTTATGCCTATAATCCTAGCACTCTGGGAGTCTGAGCTCAGGAGTTCCAGAGCAGCTTGAGACCCTGTTTTTAAAAACATAGCTGGTGTTGTGGTGGGTGCCTTGGTAGGGTGAGGCAAGAGAATCACTTCAGCCCAAGAGTTTGAGGTTGCTGTGAGCTGTGACACCATGGCACTCTACAAAGACTGACAAGGTGAAACTCTTTCTCAAAAAAAATTAATTAATTAAATAAAAACACTGGCAAAAAATACAAATACATGGGTGGTGCCTGTGGCTCTGTGAGTAGGGCGCCGGCCCCATATGAGACTCTCTACAATAAGTGAGACTGTCTCTACAAAAAAAAAAAAATGCAATACATGTTGAGAGAGATTATACTGTCTGGATGAGAAATCAGAGACATTGATATTGTGTTTATCTGTGTTTTAAAGGAAACACATAGGAATACTTGTTATTTTAATTTAAAAGAGTATAAACATATAATTTTTTTTTTTTTTTGGTAGAGACAATCTCACTTTATTGCCCTCGGTAGAGTGCCGTGGCAACACACAGCTCATAGCAACCTCCAACTCCTGGCCTTAGGTGATTCTCTTGCCTCAGCCTCCACGGTAGCTGGGGCTACAGGTGACCGCCACAACGCCTGGCTATTTTTTTGTTCCACTTTGGCTGGGGCCAGGTTTGAACCCACCACCCTTGGTATATGGGGCCAGTGCCCTAGCTACTGAGCCAGAGGCACCCCCAGAGTATAAATATACAATTTTTAAAGCAAAATTCTTAGGCTCAGCGCCTGTGGCTCAAGTGGCTAAGGCGCCAGCCACATACACCTAAGGTGGCGGGTTCAAATCTAGCCTGGACCCACCAAACAACAATGACGACTGCAACCAAAAAATAGCCGGGCGTTGTGGCAGTCACCTATGGTCCTAGCTATTTGGGAGGCAGAGGCAGGAGACTCACTTGAGCCCAGGAGTTGGAGGTTGCTGTGAGCTGTGAAGCCACGGCCCTCTACCCAGGGGGATAGCTTGAGG